GAATGGACATGGGGAATCAGGGGTGGAAAGAAGGAGTGTGCTGTCACAGTATACGGACAGCAATTAGAGTCACAAAACAATGTATGTATAAATTTTTGTATGGGAAAAAATGAAAAGAAAAAAACTGGTCAAAAGATTAAAAAAGGAATAAAACACATTACAATTGTCATCTGGTAGAATATTTTGAGAGAAAGATTATCCAATTTTAAAGGGCATTTCAGAACAGGGAGGTTGAAGTAGGAATAGAAACCTGGAGGGCATCTATTTACCATTATTTAACTAGAACTAAGTATTTCCTTCGTTTTCAATAGAAATGCAATACAGTAATTGTCTCATTTCTTCATTCCAAAAACTTCACAGTAAGTGAGGAAAAATCCCTCAAAAATAAGGGAAAACGTAACATTTAAGGTAAAAAAACAAAACTCATGTCTGGCTGACATAAATTTCAAGCCCTTAAAAATGATTTATTTAGAGGCTTAATCTCCTTTTGCTACTATCTTTGTTCATGCCCATATTAACAAATCCATCCTGAAATATAAATACCATTAAAGCTGATATTTCTCTTAAAAAAAAAAAAAAAACCTTTGTATGTAATCCTATGTTCTTTTATAATCAATGTTGATAATAATGCTTTCTCTAGCTTTCATTTATGCTGATTTTTATAGAATGACAACTGATGAAATTAAAGCCCAGGCTGTAGGGGACAGGAGCATCTGAAACAGAACATGCGATATAAGATTCACTAATATCACCAAGAACAGTGATAATTAGTGAAGCCTCTCATCTCACCCTGCCTGTACTTCTATCCTCTTTTCCTGCTGCATTTTTTCTCTGTAACATTTAATAATTTTTGTATTTTACTATTATATCTATATCTAAAATTGATAGAGGTGTATCTATTTTTCACATCTATATAAAATTTTATATAGATATATGTCTACATAACATCTATATAAAAATTTTCTATCTATACATAAAACAATAACATAGATATAGATATATCTGTTGGGGGGAGGTTTATTGTCTGTGTTTTCCCATTAGAATGTAAATTCCATGCAGTCAGCACCTTTGTGTTTTATTTCATGCTGAGTCCTCAATACCTAGAACAGTATTGGGTACATAGCAGGCATTCAATAACTATTTGTTGAATGAATGAAAAACACATCATTTCCCTTGGAAACTACTCTGGAGTTTCCAATTAGTTGAATTTTTTTCCCCATATTAAATTTTCAGGAGAAAAAAGCTAACAAGTTTATATTTTAAAAGGAAAGTCTCAAGAAAATCCTCCAATTTAGCTCAATTTCTCTATAATAGAAAGATAACAGTACTGTATCATAAGAACTGACTTTCAGAGTGAAAATATCACATTGAATTATCAAATAAATATCAAATAAATATGAATTAACTTCAGTACACTATGCTAAAGAAGATTTCAACAGTAGGTTAAAAGGAAAGGTTTTACTGTATAATTAATTGGAACAAAATATAAATTATTTAAGTACCCACCAAGCATATAATATATAATTTGTGGTCTCTACATAATGCTTTTATTAGTTAAAAAGAGCAGACAACACATAGAACAACTAGAGAATTAGGTGCTAAAAACCTATAGTTAGCATTTGAGGTAGTTATAGTTAGCATTTGGAAAGACTCAGCAAAGCTGAGAAATACTTAGATGTAGTTTTAACTTAAAAAGTGCCAATTGCTCATTTTACCTCTCGAAAGTCTTGTTATATTACAAAACATCTGTTATCTGAGAGAAGCAGTCCATTAAAAAATGAAGAAACTGTGATGGTGCTTATTGTTGATATATATCATCAATACTTAATATTACATATTGGTCTGGTTACTAGAGTTAAAATTACAGTTCTTTTGGTTATTTTATACTTGAAATTAATTGTCACTTATCTGGAATAGGGTCATTTCATGGACATTGCCGAAGCCTAATTATTAAACTATTTAATTTCACAAATAATATATAAATATATTCTTACTGTTAAAAATTAAAACAATACAGAATTATTAAAAAACAAAAAGTATATGACTTGCTGCCCTACTTGTCTTCATGCTAAGTTTAATTCTAAATTAGGGCACCTGTTCAGAAAGTGATCCCAAGGGTTGACACAACCCAAACGTATTTGAAAAACTGACTATGCAAAAAGCAGTAAATTCAGTGCTGGGACTGTAAAATGAATAAGATTTGGTCCTCATCTTTACAGAGTTTATAACTAAGTGAGTAAAATAATACAGATAAAATTATGTTGAGTTCCCAAATATAGGCCATGATGTTAGTTACAAAATTTTTAGCAGATAATCTATTAACGTCAAATTTCAACTAAACAACTGCTTCACAACAGCTCTTCTTCCTCACTTTCCCGGTGTTGGCACTGGTTCCATATTTCCTCCAGGTAACACAGTAATTATCTGCTCTTCTCTTTTTCTGCTCCCTACAACCAGTTATTCATAAAGTCAGACTATTTTCTTTTTCACAATCACTTCTGCATTCTTCTCTTTTACTATCAGAGTCCTGGATTATTACTTACTAGAAAAGTTATTGCAGTAACTTTAAAATCTCTATCTCCTTTCCTATTTTCTGTGAATTTTTGCAAAAGAAGAGAAAAAAAAAAATTTTTATTTTT